ATTGTTATTGTTGTGGTTGTTGAGGGAGGGAGGGATGGAGGTGGTGGTGTTTTTCTTTTCTTTTCTTTTCTTTTTTTTTGGGTTTGGGGTTTATATAGGGGATTTTGAGGTTGTCAAATCCTAGTCCACGTAGAATTCATGACACGTTAGGAATTTTATTGTTTGGCTAAATATCAGAAAACCACCTTATAACCTGTGTTGTTGTTAACAGGTAACCCCAATAAGTTTCAGTCAGACAGCAGAAACCCCATTAGGTTAAGGGGTTATCAAGAAATCCCTTTAACTTTAAGATTTTATTAGAAAAAAACCTTTTTACATCGTTAACCGCAATTTTCACATGAGTAAGTAAAGGACATTGGGTAATATATATTTTAGTGAGAATTGCCCGTCATGCTTCGAGGGGGGTTTCTGATAAAATCTTAAAGTGAATGAAGTTTTCTCATGACTCATACATTTAAGGGGGGTTATCTTGATAATCTTTCAAAGTTGAGGAGGTTTTCTGATATTTGGAGTTATTGTTAGGTTCAAGGTTGCGAAGTTTGCTACATTGGCTGTAAGTAGAAACACAATCAGAAATAGGATTTGGGACAAAAGTCAAAATTTTTTTTTTTTTTTGAAGTTTCCTGGTTGGTATAAAACAAAGCAAAATTTAACTACTCAAATATCTTGCAAGTATATAATTTTTCTGAGAGAAATCCTCAATGGGATGCTTAAAAATTGCACAAATTAAGATTTGTACCTCCTTGACACAGAAGTTCAATTCAGACTATAATCACCGTTACGAAACTCATGATTATTATTTAAATCGATATTTTGCTATAAAAATGTAATGAGCTACAAGGTGGGCAACGTCACTGATCTTAATTAATCTTTTAAGAGCTCTGAACTCCCACAAATACCCCCCCTCCTTTCTTCTTCTTCTTGTAAGCCCAAAGCGATGGCCAAGGGAATTCTGTGGGCGACGGCAGAAGACTTGGCGCGAAACCGGCCGAAGATCCTCTCCCTCTACCGTCAAATCCCTGCGCAGCCTGCAATCTCCCCAGACCTCCCGCTAACTACGTCCGCTCGCTCGGACAAGATAGGCCGAGGCTCGCGCCTTCGGGGCCGAGGAGCGGTCCCTTCACAACATCGCCGATCTCGTCGACGCCGCCGAGCACTCGCTGTCGATCCTCAAGAGGGGCCGGCTTCCTTGAACCGGGTCGGGTTTCGTTTTCGATTTTGCGTTTTTGGTTTTTTTTTTTGTGGTCGTCTGTTTGCGCACGCAAACCGTTTGTTGAAATGCCTTGCAGAAACTTGGAACCTTTTATTCTGTACGTCATCGCTGTAGTCAAAATTTTACCAAACTTTTTTAAGTTAGCATGAGAGATGAGGGTTATAGTTTTGTGTTTTAACATGTCCTTGCAGCTAAGTGTCCTTTTCATTAATCCAAACTCGGACTCATGCGATTGTATTCAAATTTTGCTATAATCTGCTTAAAATTTATGGCTGCTATGATATCATCTTAAAGTCCATTACGTTGTTAAGGGTATAACTTGGTATTTTTAAGAAGCATGTAAGAGGTACACGGAACGCATGTCGATCGATCTCCCACTCCGTTTGTGTCTTGTCCGCCTTGATCAGCGCTGCTTGCTGCGATGCGTCCGGCTGTGAGCTCGTACTCACCGTTGAACTTGACTCTTTAAACTTACATTATAAACCATTTGTTCACTTATTCGATATCCGATCTGAGACTAAATCTTGGGTATCATACTTTTCTCTCCGCATTATCCAAACTCAAGATTAGCTCATGAAAATGTACCCTAATTTTGAATTTTATTGTTTTTTTTTCTAATTTTAAATAACTAGTATCGGAGTTGAAGCTTTGTCGACAATTTTATGATGCTTTTGTTGTTCTAGTTGCTCTGATGATTATATAGTATTTCCACCCCAAAAAAACAAGGCTGAATAACACATAAAGTACCCTATTCTTTCACTCACTTTGCTATCAAATACCCTCAAATTGTTTTTCGTAGCGCTATGTACCTAAAGTTGTTTAAATTAGAATTTGAGTAAGGTTAAGAGTAAAATTTAAACAACTTTGGGTATATAAATGTTTTGAAAAACAATTGAAGGTATAAAAAGTGCAAAACGAGTGAAACTATAAGATGTTTAAGTGCAATTTAGTCTATACGCAATTACCTTTGATTCCTAATAAATTAGGTAGTGGCGCCTGATGACTTTTGATACTAGCCTTTTAGGCTACCTATTCCCTGAGGGCTTGTTTGGATTGAGGGGAATGAGGGTGAAGGGAAGTTAGGGGAACCATTCACTTTCATTCACCTTGTTTGGGAACACTTATTAGGAGGTGAAGTTAATTCACTCTAGTTCCCCTTGGTTCACCCCCTAATAGTATAAAATTTGTTACCCCCCAAATTGGGGTGTAAACAAGGGGAAGGGAACTCCCTTCTCTTCCATTCCCTTCCCTTCTCTCAGTTTCCCTTAACTTCCCTTCACCCCCTACAAATCCAAACAGGCCCTGAGATCATGTTGATAAAAAGCTTAAAACTAATAAAAACCAGATATAGGGGGGATTATATTATCCGGAAAATAATATTGAGATTGCATTATCCTAGGATTATTTAAACATAGCCTATGTTTGTTTTCTTACGGACTAACTTAAAATAGTCGATACCAGTGTTTGTTTTTATGAGGATTATGACTGTTTAGACTAACATTACAACTAGATTGACCTTTCCCCCACAAATCAACCGATATTGTATTAATGCGCATCAATTTGGAATTTTTTTTTAAAATTTAGGCATGACCTTGTCCAAAAGGTCAAAACTCACTTGAATAATTTTTTTAAATGTTATAGTATATATTTCGCCCTAAAATTTTAGCTTGACTGAATTCAAACTGAGGGTCGCGCTTTTTCGTCACAAAAATCTTAATTTCTCCAACTAATTAGTCCCTAGATTATAAAGGTGGGGTAGGGTGGGTTTAGTTTGGCCTCTTTATGGGGTATTATGTAGTCCCTATTTTAAAATAGTCCAACGCGAATTAAAAAAGAAACATGGATTAAAAAAAGAGATCCAGACTATTTTTTTTTAAGAACAATAAGCAGGGTGAGATACCCTACTCCTGGATATGTATATATATATAGAAACAAGAGAAACATGTTTCTATTACAGACTGACAATCTAACAAAATTAGGAAGTGTAAAGAGATCAGAGGAAGATATTAAGAGTGAGGGGCGGACCTTGTCGTCACCCAACTCACCAATAGCTTCCACGATATCTGAAAACTCCCAGATCCACCCAAAAAATCACTAAGCCTAAATAACAGTAACTAACAGACCAAAGATGTTTAAAATCATGAGCACGTGTATGATGCCAAAAGACAAAATACGCCTGCACAAAAGATAGGGCAGAGAAGGAGAACATGCCTCAACTACCCTCCCTCTTCCTCTACTCAGCCTCTTCCGACATCACACATGGGCCCAGTGCTATCCCCAAGCACAGTTTGGGTTGGCTGGACTTTAGGTCTACTACAGCTGGATTGTATGGGCCGGGTACTAAACTCAGGACGAACCCGATCCATTACAGGTCGACTTTTTACAGCGAAACAGGCATGTCGGCCCAAGTGAAAACCGTCACCGACCTCCACGAACCCACGCACGGCTCGCGGTACGAACGTGTAGTTTCTATACTTTGCAATTATGTACCCTCGTTTATTTTTCGCAGCAACTATGTACCCTAAATTGTTTTTTTTAATTTTACACTTTCCACGCGATCAGCTATGCAAATAATAAGGGGCCTACCAAGCACTAATCGAGGGCGTACGAGTGCAAAGCCGGGGAACACTGTAGGTATTTAAGCACAAGAGCTTTGCTACATGACCTAAAATATGGGACCAACATGGGGGACACGTGAGCTGTTCACCTCTTATTGCGTAATGAGCTGGTCATCATTAATGATGACCAGTTCATTACGCAATAGGAGGTTGACACCTCACCTGTCCCGCCTATTGGTCGGAATTTTTCTTAAGGGTCTGTTTGTTTGCCTAAAAAAAGAGGAAAAATCAAAGAAATGAAAAACTATTTCTAAGAAGAATTGTTTTAGGAGTGTTTGATTGGCTAAAAAAAGAAGGAAAAAAAATGGAGATGAGATGATGTTAGTTGTCATCTTATTATTGGATGATGTGAGTGATTTTTTAAGAAAACTTGTTTTGGTGTTGTTTGGTTGACGAAAAAAATAAGGAAATGAATTATAAGAAACCTATTTCCTGTAATATGTTGTTTTCTTTTGTTTGGTTCATTCTTAAAAATAAGAAAATAGATAATATGAGATGAGTTGTCATTATATTATTGGATGATGTGACCCACACTTAAGAAAATTATTTTCCAAGCTTTTTGGGAGAAAATGAGTGAAAATAAAATGTTAGTGAGATGAGATGAGTTGTCATCATCTTATTGGATGATGTGAGTGATTTAAAATGATGAGATGAGATGAGTTGAGTGATGTTGTGGATGAAAATAATATTTTATTAGATGTGGTGGGTGAGTTGTTGGATGAAAATAATATTTTATTAGATGTAATGGATGAGTTGTTGGAAGAAAATAATATTTTATTAGATGTTATGGATGAGCTGGTGGATGAAAATAATATTTTATTAGATGTTGTGAGTGAGTTTTAGGAATGGAAATAGAGGAAATGGTACTTTTGAGATTTCCACATTTTCCATTTCCATTTCTTAGTTTTTAAGAAATAACCAAACAGACCCTTAGGCAGCAATCAAGCAAAGAAGACACGTGGGCCCCCTCCCCACGATTCGTTTTTTTTTAGTTTGTAACCCCGCGAAACACCCGCGGTTCAATCGACGTCGACGCCGCGGCCTTCCTCCCGCCTCCTCTCGCCGACACGTGGCTTAAAAGAACGCGCCACCGTCCCCGTCTCCTGCCGTTTCCTTCTGCCTCAAAGCCTCCTCCCTCTCCGACCCTCCTGCCGCAATAAATTTCCGCCGTCGTCGGTAAAAAATGGAGGGCAGGGGACTGGTCGTCGAGCGGCCTCTACCCGAAAATCATCGAGCTCGCGGCGCTCCGACCCTTTCCTCGGCAACCGCTAGCCGCGCCCTCGCCTGCTACCCGGCTCCCAATCCAGCCAAACCCTAACCTAAGCCCAGCCGCCCGAAGTCTCCCAGACCCGAACCTCTACCAGCTGCTCCCTCGGACATGAAGGAACTCGCCGAGAAGCCTCTTCGCGCAGAGCTTCCGGCGAGGACTCCGCGCTCGCCTGCCTCCGACCAATTGCGCTCGCCGCCGGTCGAGCAGAACCGCTGGTCGCGGCATGCCCGCGCGCGCATCCTGCACCTGATGCGACAAGGCAGAGCAGCGTCGAGCTCGCCTCCGGCGAGTTCTCCGTCGGGCCAGGATCCGTACAGGGCCGAGAAGACACCGCTCGCCTGTCTCTCGCCGCGCATCGCGGCGTGCAGCTGTGCCGGCCTGCGCACGCGGCGACGAGAACGCTCCGTCAAAGCTAGACGGCTCGGCCACTACTTCTTGCCAGGAACTACAGCGAGCCGCCTTCCGAGAGCCTCGAAATCCGACGAGAATCCTGCTAAATTACGGGCTGACCTTCGTCGGCGAAGGTCTGCAGGAGGAAGCTGATCAAGGAGGGGGCTGGATTGCGATTCCTGCGAGAGCAGCAGGGCGCTTCTCGTGGAGAGGGTGGAGAGGGAGATCGAGAAAGCGCGGTGGTGGGGCCGGAGGAGCTAGGGCGGCGGCGTAGCTGGACGACGCTGGCGGCCCGAACGTGGAGGATTAATAGCGGGTCGGTGGCGAGAGGGATAGCGATGGGGTCGGGGAGGGTGATACAGGGGATTCTGTGGTGTGGGGATGTGACGGTGGAGAGGCTGAAGTGGGGAGAGGATTTTATGAAGAGGAGGATGGATCCGAAGGGGAAGAAGAGCGAGGTTAGCAAGGATGCTCTCAAGAGGATGAAAAGGTTCGGTCTTTGTTTTAGTGTCTTTAGATTTTGTGCTATTAGATATCTTGACTGAGTTGGATAATCTTTTCAAATTGCAATCTTGGCAAATAGCAGTAGGAAAAGGCTTTGATCTCTGTTTTATCTCTATGGCTTTACTGTGTTAAGTATCATGATCGAGCTAGGACGAATAGGGATGGGAAAACAAACAAATAGAGATTTTTAGCTTTGAGAATACCCATTCATGCGATTTGTTTTGATGGTATTTGGCGTCTCCAAGGCTTGTATCAGATACTTCATCTTATTTTTCGAATTGATATGCATAAAATGAGAATGCTTCCCTAATTTGTTCAAATTTATGCATTTTTGTTCGAAGTTTATACGTTTAAGATATTTGCTATTTTAGACCAAGTTCATGCAGATAAACATATGCATAGATATACAAAAATTTATGGACAATAGCGGGTATAGCCACATCCATGTAAAAGATAAATTGGGAAATGACATATATATCAAAAATTTCCTTTTCTTTGGATCATGGTAATGTATATGAGCAAGCATTCGACTGAACCATATAAAATTGCACTATGGATATTTAGATTGTAGTTTGTGGTTTTCTAAAATCTGACTCAAAAATTTCTATTGATGCCTGGTTGTTTAACATTCTTATTTCTTTCAGGGTTAAAAGGGTCACGAAAATGTCAGACAATGTGGTTACCGGTATCCTATCTGGAGTTGTGAAAGTATCTGGATTTTTTACAGGCTCTGTTGTGAATTCAAAGGTTGGAAAGAAGTTCTTTGGACTGTTGCCAGGGGAAGTTGTTCTAGCTACACTTGATGGATTTGGTATGTCTCGGTCTTATTCATACTTGATATATACCAAAACATTATTGTGTATTTTATTCAATGTATATCGCATGCTCTGTTTAAAGTTTCAGATTACGACTGTTGTTTACTTTCGAATTTCCATTTCTTCTATTGATTTTAAGCATTGAAAACCTTCTCTTTTCCGAGTTAACATATATACTTGTTTTGATTTTGATGAATGTAGTATTAGTCATCTAAAGGGATTATTTTTGTCTACTATTATGCCTATGCTATATCCTGTCCATCAAAAGTTATAATCAAGATCACACTCATATCAAGTGATTTGAAATTCATCGCTTGTTTTAATCTCCGTATTTAACTCATTTCAATATTTCCTCACAAATAAATCTACTGTCATGATTATTGATCATTAACTAACTGGCGCCCTTGATGTGAGAAATAATACCCATTGTCACTTGATGGATTCAAATTTGTCATTCGATATCAATTAGTTGAAGACGCTTCGTGGTAGATTGCATTGTAAAAGTCTTTCAAAATTGGGATGGAATATGGAGGACTTGGTTGGTGTCTTGGAGTAGGTAATGTCAATTATGACTCAATTGAATCTTGAATTGGGCATTTCCTACAATTCTTTGGATCTCTACGAACTTTGGGAGCCCTGAATCCTGAATATTAAACCTTTCACCCTTTCCTACCTATATACATCAATTAGAGCCTAGAAAGATTATGAACAATCCTGAATTAATTTGTATTTTTTTTTGTTACTATTGATATGGATCTTTTTAAATGAAACCTTAGTTGGCTCTGTCAACGTAAACTTCCTTTCTTTTTCCCCCGCAACTCCTCTTCATCTGAATTCATTTATCCGGAAATATTGTTTCCTTTCAGTTGTTTTTCTCCTTTAATAGTTTCTTTAGGACGCAATTGATGTTAAATTTCACTCATTGTTTGATTCTCTCTGCAGCCAAGATCTGTGATGCTGCTGAAATGGCAGGAAAGAACGTCTTACAAACATCATCTACTGTGACCACAGGACTTGTATCTCACAGGTTCGTCTTCTTTTTCATCATGATTCAGAATTATCTGCTCCCCTCTTTATCAGTTTGCGCCTTATTTCTTCACTTGTATACTGTAATGTGATACCTACCGAGGGGCTACTGTTCATGATTGTGTGGTATCTTCAGAAAATGCTATCTTGGTCTTTACATTTCAATGTTTTGTGACATTTATTTGTCGACCATCCTCGGGAAGTAATGTTTTGTGACGAGCAAAGATCTCCTTAACGTTCATGTTCAACTCATCCAGTGATTAAACTGAACCAACATTTTCGGCTTTTGATAGGCATGGAGAGCAGGCAGGAGAGATCACAAACGTGGGGCTTGGTGCAGCAGGACATGCCATAGGAACCGCATGGGCCGTCTTCAAAATTCGGAAAGCACTTAATCCTAAGAGCGCGATGAAGCCCGCAACCCTAGCAAAAACGGCGGCTAAGGCAGCCGCGGCGGATCTCAAGGCCAAGCAGAGCAAATGATTCTCTGAAAGATGATATAGCCCTTTTGTTCTATTTATTCGCTGTAATCCTTAATTTTATGTACAGCTCTAGACTTTGTGTTTGAAGTAGTTATAGGGTGATATTGTACTGTTCGTGGTTTGTTGTATTTTTTTTTTTGGTAGGTTATCTGTTGGTGGAGTTGGAGATTTCTTATTTTCAGTGAGTTGTTGTGTTTGTTAACTTATTTTCTGAGATGCTGGCGGGACTCGCATATTCTTGTTGGTGACTGGAAATGATTTTCGTCTATGATTTTTTACTTAATAATTGGACCATGAGGAACCGATCCGTTGTATTTCATTTCAATAATGAATCTCCTTGAAGCTATTCTATATGGTCCCTCAATTCAAGGAGAGTTAAATCGCACGTTGACCCTACTTAGTATTTTGCTATTTTGAGCTTGCTATCCTCAATAGTTTCACTTTGAAGATATATCCCTTGGTTCCGAGTGAATTTAACTAGTCCATTTGATGGTAAGAAGGAAACTCGTGGTGTGGTAAGTTCAAAATAGCAATTTTTAAAGGATTTATAGCGTTAATGTGGTTCAAAGAGATGCTAATTTCTATCCGCCATCAACTCGAGAAAAAAGATTTATGACGTTGAACGTGTTTTAAAGAAATATATCAACTCTTGGATTACAGGATTTTGCGATGTCGACCCTTGGTAAGTACACAAATCGTGAAGCTCTTTGATCCAACGGATTGACAATATTTAGATTCACATTTAGCGACTTGTTTTGCAAACCACTAAACGTGGGCGGTGTTCAAACATGGTCCAGTTTTAGTATAATTATTTTGCTTGGCTACTGATTTCTATCAGGCTGTTAATATCGTGGAGCCAGGAAAGCTCCTGCGTACCTTCTCGAAAGTGGAGCCAGGAAAGCTCCTGGGTACCTTCTCGAAAAGCGGTGATAGCAATTTGTTCCTGTTCGGGCGTAGTTTAATTTCGGCCCAATTATATATGAGTGATGCTACAGGCACACCTCCGGCCACACCCCCTCACCTGCTACAGTGCAGGGGGCCCCACTTGATTTTTTTTAAAAAATTTCGGGGGGGAAGAAAAAAAAGAAAAGAAAAGAAAATAAAATAGATAATAGAAAGCTCAAGGTTCGATTTCACAAGTTGCTTTTGGTGTTTTTGTAGGTGGTAGGCTGTTTGCGGTTTAATTTGTTCACCATTTTGTAGGGCGCATTTAAGTGCCAAGAAATTTTCTTAATAAACCCATTCACTTTTTTTTTTTTTTAAAATCGATCCCATTGAGATTTTTTTTACAAAAACCGACCCACTTTCTCGTCACGTTAGCATCGTTACGAGAAAGTGGGTTGATTTTTCTTAATATACATTCACTCATCATTCATTACTAACGAAGTTCAGAATGTAACCCTATAGACAAATGAGAAATCAGATCGAACCGGTACACCTGAGGACACATCACCTTCCGACTTTTATTGTTTCTCTTCTTTCCTTAATTTTCTAAGCTTTTGGAGCACTTCTTAACTCCACATGTTGAAGGGAACCAAGGATCTTTATTTTATTTCATTTCATTTTTTACTTTATTTTTTTTGCTAAAATATGTATAGGTAATCCTACAATGTCATTTAAAGAGAGGCGCAAAAAGAAAAAACATATCGATAGTGCTAATCGCTATTAAGGAATGGTTGGAAAAGAGCAAAAACGTATATATTGCCGTGGCTCAGACTGGATTGTCTGCCCTGTATCATGTTGCGAGTTAATTCCCCCAAGCCTAATACCTTCTATAATTCGAAAATTCTATATTTTACTTTGGGGACGTTCCCAAATGCAGCCTTACATAAGTTAATCCAGGAAACAAGTTGACATGGAATGCTCTGATATCATGTTATTTCTAATTTTTTGACGATTTCATTATGAATGCATTAGAGTTTGGTGATTTTGATGTGTTCTTAGCTAATTCGGGCAAGGAGTGCTTGTCTCATCTCAAAGGTACAATTTTTGAATTCCAATAAGTAGCCAAGTGATGACTGCGTACTTTTTTTATTCATAGTTTTTTGGACCATTTGGTTTTATCAGATTTATTGTTTACCTATTTATTTCCAGTTATGCAGATATTGGTGTACGTAGTTTTTACTTGACACTTGTAAAATGAATTCTTGTGGGAGATTCAAGGATTTTCCTCCTTGTAGTTTTATGTTTTTGCACTTTTGTATTGAAATTAGACAAGTATGTCAATTGATAAACTTCACCCCCAGGTAATGTAGAAAGGTTCTATATTCTACAGTTTGAAACAGTTTAACTTACTCTTTTGATGAACTAGTTTTTACACACGTGCAATGCACGTGATTTAATGCCATGATTAAGTATTTTTGACAGTTTGTGCTCATTTTTTTCTTTAAACTCTTACATCCCGATTATTTTTTTTATGTTTGTTTAAATGGGATACACCCAATTTAAATTTTCATGTTGATATTTGAATTGACAAAAAACAAATATAATTTAAAAATAATTTGAATTTTCATATTATTTTTGACCGATATGAAACTAAGCTTTATTTGAGAAAGTATAGCATTGCAAAGTGAAAAATATTAAAATAGTGTTATACAAGGAAGGTGAATATTTAAAACCAATATGGCAAAATGATTGATTTAAAGTATGTTAAAACTATACAAAAGAGAATATGAAGTTTATTCCTAATCATTGATAGACTTCATAAAAAAATATAAATTAAAGATTAATGTTAACTATAGTATACTTTTATATGATAAAACATCCACATAAGAATATAAAAGTACTGAAAAAAATAGCAATTTAGGACCGTTGTGATTCCTCATGCATCTTTAATTCCTTGTAGCTTTATGTGTTTTGCACTTTTGTATTGAAATTAGACAAGTATGTCATGTTTCCCTTGGTGGTAAAAGAAAAGATAGCTGACATCAAACATATACATGGATGCGTCTGAGTTTGCAGAAAATCACCTCATTTGATGTGGGTTTTTTTTCCCCTGCAACATACGTATTGCTGCTGTTGGTATTTCATTCAAGTGGGAGAGATTTCTGGTTTTGCATAACGCATCAGGATTGGTCAGTAGTTATTGGTGGTATTTCAACTATGTTCATCATCTCCTTAGTGAGAACATGAGCTATTTTGGTTCGACTGCTTGTGGGGCCAGAGTCTGTTGACCATCATGTTTTATTGAGTTCTGTCATTCTGTTTAAGTAGCCATGTTGGGTACAGTCAGATTAGACGAAATCAGGTTTCAATTTACGATTGAAAAGGCCTAGCCTACCATTGTGGTCTCGCATGGCATGTTTGTTCGCTCTCTTAGGAGCAATATTTTTCCCTATACTCAAGGGCAAAACATAGTACAGTCTAAGTTTCATGGGATGCAAATGGCGATAAAATAGTTTAGGAGTTACAAGTTGCTATATCTCATAGCATAGAGAGAACATCTCTAATTAACCTTTCCTTTTCTTTGTTTCAAATGTTCTATGTGCTACTTAAATCAGAGAGGCCCTTAACAACTCTTCAATTATGAAAGAGAAGAGAAATATATGTGCAACTTAAATCGAAGAGGCCCTTTAACAACTATATTCAATCATGAAAGAGAATAGAGAACCCTTACCATTAAACTTCCAACTGATTTCCTGACAAAGTGTGTTGATACCTTACTCCACCTGTTTAACGAATACTGGCCTAAACATCCTGACAAAGGGAAATGTAGGATAAATTTAAAAATACTTTTAAAGTATTTTTAAATTTATCCTCCAGATCATAACAATCAAGGTTTTATGGCTAATCATTTTCCATTTTACTTTTCGTTCCAACTTCTGGGAAATAAATTGGAATATTTTGTTAAAATAATTTGTTTATATACAAAACTGCCTATCATTAATTAACTAGATCAAAATAATTAATATTAATATTATTATAATACTATAAATACAAAATTTGAAAGTTTTAAAGAGGAAAATAGGAGAAAAGTGAAGGATAGTTTTATTTCTTAGGTATTATAAGATATATACCCTCACATCTTTAATATTTACAAGAAACCCTTCAAATCTTGATATTTGCAAAATTACCTCTCAAAACTAGTGTATTAGGTCTTTCTACTGTTCCAATGTAAGAGTGTTGGTTTTTAAACGGGACAGTGTCAGAACTTCCATCAGATTTGCAACAATTTTTCATTTTGAAACTAAACTTGTTAAGTGAAAGGGGGTAAAAAAAGATCAACGTGAGAGAATTGGTGGGTAGGTTCGCGTATGCTAAACTTTGAAGGGTAAGTTTGCAAATATTGAAGATTCAAGGCAAATATGCATGAAACCCCTGATCATATTTAATAATTACGGATTGATTTGAGGGGTGAGCTTATACATGTGTACAATGCAGAGGGCATTTATGGGTAAAAAAGAACCAACAAATCGTTCCCCTTCCCCACCTCGAGCCCTCAGTGATTTGGTCATCTCTCTTCTCCTGGTATTTTTCCCCTTTAATTTTTTTTTAAATCTTTTAGATCCCAATCTCTCTTTTTTCTTTTTTTTTTTTTGGGGGGGTCGCGTTCGATGAAATGCCTACCTAGCTTATTAGGGGATTATTTCTTTCATTGGTGAACATGTTTTTTCTTTTTTTAATAAGGGAATTTAGGGGGGAAATACATTTTTATTGTAAGTAATAAACATCAAATTGAACAAAACTATCTCCTTAAGTTTATAAACTGTTTCTTCAATGTGTATATCCTGTAAATTATAGGTAGAGCTAATTTACATCCCAATTCTAAGTTTGTTTTTATTCCCAAATTTATTGATGTTAGAATTTCATACTGGGATTTTGTGAGGGAAGTATCGATTAAACCAACTAAAGATGGTTTATTGATTTAAAGAATAAGTAAATCAGTTTAGTATCAGTAAGGTTGGAGAGTTTGAGGAAAGATAACAAATAGGGGGATAAATTATTTATTACAATGATTTAGGTATAATTTGGTGTATATATACATTATATGTCGATAAAACCCTTAAATAAATAGGTACCAAAGTGCCCATGAATGTGTGAGGTTTTAAACCGTAGTGAAAATTGTGTGTAGAAACAGCAGCAACATAAGCTTAAGGAGCAACCAATCCCATAACCAAAACCAAACAAAGTCCTCTAAACTTGGTTCTTTAATTATGATCATATTGTATCTACTGTATTATTTGCCTTTGGTTTGAATGAAGTAATGCTATTTGGTGACCAGGTGACTCTTCGAACCATTACGAATAGCAACAGTTTATGGAATCCATTTGTTTATTGAATTACTGCAAGAAAGCATAAACTTATGCACTTCTATTTTTTCTCCTTGAACTCATGGATATTTCACATGGATGTTTAATATATATATTTGCTTGTAGTTTTGCATTTTTTACCTTCTATTTGATGTTCAAGCATCTAATTTCATTCAATTATATGGATCAGATATTTGATGGCTAAGCTGGTTGGTACATGCGTCTGCCACATTAATCTGTCTAATGATCTTAGGTGTTCTCAACTTCCTCCACTTGGTTTTAAGCATTCATCAAGAGGCTCTTGGAATCTTTCTTTTAGTATCTCAAGACATCACAAATCTCTTACAATAGTGGCTTCATCGTCAAAATCCTTAAGCAACATGTCTACCACCCACTTTGACAATACGCTACCTTCAAGAGGTCAGTGCCATAAACTTGTTAACTCAATTTAACGTCCCGATTATCTCTTGCAGCAAAATTTGACTCTTTGTTATTTCATGTTCTTGCTTATTATAGAGGTTCTAGAGATTTGGCGGAGTGCAGATGCAGTATGCTTTGATGTAGATAGTACTGTCTGTGTGGATGAGGGTATTGATGAGCTTGCAGACTTTTGCGGTGCTGGGAAAGCTGTTGCAGAGTGGACAGCCAAGTAAAATGCGCTTTAAGTTATGCTTTATTGATTTGTATCTAGTTTAGGGTGTGTTAATGGTTTTTTGTTTTCTGTATCTTAAGGGCCATGAGTGGTTCTGTTCCCTTTGAGGATGCTCTTGCTGCCAGACTATCATTGTTCAACCCTTCTCTGTCCCAACTCCAAGATTTTCTGGAAAAGAGACCGCCAAGGTATTGATGCTTCTTTAGTTCTTTATCTTCCAAAATTATTAATGCCTGGTGGGGACTGTTTATTAGGAACCATTTAGCAACTTTTGTTGAAACCTTTTTCAAGTAGCATTGTGATGTCTACTGACCATATTCTTATGGAAGTAGATTAAATGAAGTTGCTGGCATGATTCTAATTTCTTTGATGCATTCTCTTTATTGACATAGAAGTGTTCACAAATAAGTCACTATCAAATTGTTAAGGTGTAAATGATCATGTTGGTGTTAATGTGTCTTAATTTATTTACTTGTAGAGTTTATTTTAACTTGTAGAGTTTTGATGCATTGAAGAGTTGCATATTAATTATGCATTCACTAAATTAGCCAAAGTTCAATCTTATATAGAGAGATTGTTCTTTTGATGAGAGCATAACAAAAAAAGGGAGAGTGTGAGAAAAAAAAGAGGAAAAATAGAGAGAAAAGGGTGTGAGGATTAGAGAGTGGGGTCCTTGTACTTATATATTTTTCACAGTGAATATTCTCCACCATCCGAGGACGTAGGCCAGAGTTTGGGGTCGAACCTCATAAATATTGTCTTGTCTTGTTGCATTGTGCTTCCATTTTGTTTTTGACGTCTCAGTCTCCTAGATCCCGTGGTTCCGTGTGTCGAGATTAGCGTACGGCGGTAGATTTCACATCCGTTGTAGAGAGATTATTCAATCAATAATTCACAACATTTGGTATCAGATAATTCAGTGGAGACTCGAGCTGATATGGAGTTAAAGTTCAAGGTGAATAAGTTTGACGGCAAGGAATTTTCTCTTTATGGCAGCGCACTCTTAGCACAACAAGGGCTCCGCAAGGTGCTATTAGGGAAGGAGAAAATGATGAGATCAGTCCTTATTGTTTCGTCAAAATCCTTGGGAGAAGGATCAACTTCAATGTCCACGTCAAAAACACTGATGAGCGATGAAGAGTGAAAATACATATTTCTTATTTATTACTTTAAAAAGTCAGTGAGCATGGCTTGCTGATTTAAGTTGATATTTTTATAATTTTGGGTGTGTATGACTAATTTTGGGTGTAGGCATTGTAGTCTTACATTCATTGTGGTTTGTCTAGCCTCCCTGCCGCATGCTTATCGATAATCTCAACAATCGGTTGATAAAAAATCTCCTTGTTGTAAGCAGAATTTATCTTATTCTTACCATCTTCCAACATACTATAGACAAAGCCCATGTAGGGCCTCCTATTTGCATCAATAATCCTTAGCAGCTTGAAAAGAAGATTATAGATTTTTATCAGCAACTGTAAATCCTTTCAAAAAAATACCGGAATAGACCGTAGACTTAGTAGCAACTCTCTTAGATGTCTTGGCCTATCTGTTCTCTTCCCACTCAGGTGAAGAGATCATGGTGGCTAATTGCGGTTTCTTCTCCACCAAGCAAGTCAGGCTAAGGAAGGAAGTGACAAACCGTGTAACTCTTGGGCGAACAAGCTCCCTTTTATTAGTAAAGTTGCGCATAAAAGAAAGGATACTATGATGCGAGTAGAGAAATACCGTGAGATTCCTCCCCTTCTCTATCACAGACTTGAACTTTGAAAGCATCCTAATATCCTCCAACATCAAATCAATTGTGTGTGCCGCACAGCTAGAATATATTTGGACGCTCATCTTTCAACTTGTTCTTTGCAGCCATGTTAGGAGCAACATTATCGGTAACCACCTGCACTACATGAGACTCCCCAATCGCCAATCTCCAATATATAGCAGCGGTTGAAGCGGTGAAGGAGGCATTATGGTTGAAAGGCTTAGTGAGATCACTTGGAAGGGAATAAGAACTGGTGTCCATTCATTGTGATGGCCAAAATGCCATTCATTTAGTGAGAGATCAGATGTTCCATTCTTGAACCAAACACGTTGATATAAGGTACCATAAAATCCAAGATTGGATGGAAGACGAGGAGATCATTCTTGAGAAGATTGATACAAAGAGCAATCTGGCGGACTTCATGACGAAAGTTGTTCCAACATATTTGTTCGAGTTATGCTAGAACGCCATTAATGTCATCCATCATTGATGGTGAGGGAGCACTGCGGCAGGAGCGGGGTTGGGTATTCCATCTAGGATGCCTTAGAGGAGAGATGTACCAAAGAGTATACATTGGCAAGAATTAGAATTAAGTCAAGGTGGAGTTTGTTGATGTTAGTGTGGCTTAATTTATTTACTTGTAGAGTTTATTTTGACTTGTAGAGTTATGATACATTGAAGAGTTGCATATTAATTATGCATTCACTAAATAATTCAAAGTGTAGTCTTTTTTTCTTTTGTAATCAAAAGTAAAACATGGTGCAAAAACAAATGCTAGTGCCAAACCAAAAAACAATCAATGACCCCACAATTAAGGGTGATCCATAGCATCCCGCACTATTAAGTTCTTAATTGTGGGATCAAGGTCCTCCACGTTATAGTAGAAGTGTAGCTCGTAGAGCTTATGACCATTCTTGGAGAGACGATCAACCACTTGATTGTAGCAATGAGATAAGTTTACGTGGAGCTTGTGGTCCATGTTATGCTAAATATCAGCGAGTTGTGAGAACGAGCAGCCTTTCCTAATCAGGTTCACAAGGGATTTGGAGCCTGTCCTAACTTTGGTAGGCAGCAAACCGAGTTCATCAACCAAATCATCCCTAATAACCAAATCATCCCCACTAGTAAGAGCCTTCATCTCAGCATGAAGGTTAGAACCTTGACCAGCAGGATTAGAGAACGCAACACCTTTCCTAATCAGGTTCACAAGGGATTTGGAGCCTGTCCTAACTTTGGTAGGCAGCAAACCGAGTTCATCAACCAAATCATCCCCACTAGTAAGAGCCTTCATCTCAGCATGAAGGTTAGAACCTTGACCAGCAGGATTAGAGAACGCAACAATAAAAGAACTCTCATGGTCTCTAATGATCCCACCCACAACAATCACATTTTGGACACATGAGTTATTAATGTTCAAAACAAACGTTCCACACATGAAAAACTTGGTTTGAATCTGGGTGATCTTGAATTGATGCCAATGGAGAAGGGATAATCCTGACCATATTTAGAGGAGCACATCAAAGGCTTAACCATCGAGTCAAGATGCTGAAGATAGTCAATCATCATGAGTCTAGGTAGAAGAAAATCCTTCACCATGCCACCATAGGTGCAATTGTTTTTATAACTCTATATTTGCCTACAAATGACAATGCAGTCCAGTCTTCCCATGATAGAGAATTAAGATTTCCCTTTGTACTTTATAAACCACCATTTGATTCTTGAATAAATGGTTTGTTGAGGAAATATGACCCTACAAAGAGGGCACTAAAATATTTCCATAAAGAATGAGCAAGTTCACTTTTGATAAAAAGATGGTCCGAAGTCTCCTCATTGTGATCCTTACAACAAACACGTTTGGATGCAAAAGAGAAACCCCTTTGTTTAGCCAAGGAGTCAACTGGCAATATTTTATGAAGCAATCTCTAGCACACTGACATTGATGAGAGTGGCATGATAGTGGACTAATTTTCATCAAGCGATGGATCAGGTGCTTGTTGAGCTCTAATAGCATTCCACGCGGATTTAATAGTGAAAATTCCAGCCTTATCATGGGACCAATGCCTAATATCATCCCTCTTCTTAATATTCGAGGCAAAGTCAACCAACAATTCAATCACCTCATTGACCCAACAAAGGCTCCAGTTAATCAAAATTCCAAGCACCATTCTCATGAAAGTCCCTTAGTCTGACATTGATACCCTCATCATCACAAAGAAAAGCAAGAGAAAACTGAGAGAGCCATTTATCATACCAAAAGGAGAGATCTCCTCTACCAACAGACCAAGAATAGAGTGAGGAGAAAACGAGCTTAATAGATAATATATCTTTCCACTCTTTAGAAGAACGAAGAGGACTAGTCCAAGCAAGAGGAGTAGAGCCAATCTTGTACTTGTTACTCATGAAAGAAGCCCATATGAATTCAGAGCTGCATAACTGCCAACACTGTTTGAGGAGAAAATCAAACTTTACCTCTAAAAGAATTCTTACTCCTAGACCCCCTTCATTGACAGGAAAACATATTTTTTTTACCACTTGAGCCAATGTTTGCGATGATCATAATCCATGGTTTTAAATATCGGCCGATAATCCGATATTATCGCCGAGTTATCGGATTTGGGAGCTTTCCGCTAGGATAAGTAGGATTTTTAATTGGTTATCATTTTTTGGGGTTTATCGACGAGTTTTCGGCTGTAGGCGTCAAAAAATGCTAATAGATATCCCAAGCATAGAGAAGATCACTCAAAAATTCACAAGAAAGGATTTCATACTGTTTTGGAAAAATCAAAACAAGTATGAACTGTCTCGCCAGCGAGACAGTCTTTGCTGTCTCGCCAGCGAGACAGTGTTGAAATAGTCAAAACTACATTTGTAACTGCCCTACACGTGTCCATTAACTGCCAAGGGACGTGGGAAACATCATGGGCGAAAATCACGTGGATAACTGCCAAAATAACGGAGTTTGAAACGTGGGAGAACAGTTACAGCGAGAAACTGCCATTTTCCGAGACAGCATTTACTGTCTCGCTGAGCGAGACAGCAAATTTACTGTCTCGCGGGTCGAGACAGCAAACGCTGTCTCGCCCAGCGAGACAGTAAACACTGTCTCGCCGTACTGACTTCTTCGATTGTTAAGTCTTTGCAGTTACAGACCCCAGAGGCTATAAATACCCCCCTAGGGTCACTTCTGACGAGGATCGAGCATTTGTTAGAGCATTCCAGAGCAGAGAGAGCAGAGATTTGGGTTCTTTTCTTGCAACGCCTTGAAATTAAGCTTTGACTTGATTTTAAGAAGAACGACTATCTTACTTTTCTTGCAACGCCTTGAAATTAAGCTTTGACTTGATTTTAAGAAGAACGACTATCTTACTTCGATAAGATATCGTTTCAATTTCTACTTCGATAACGAAGTTAGAATCATAAGCCCCCTCTTCACGATCTGTGAATCGGCGGTCCA